GGATTACAAGGTGCATTACGATACGCTTTCACATCATGTTCTATAACCCAGAGCATATTGTCTGCAAAGATAAATATTTAATTCAGTATTTAATTAGCTATGCATAATTATCTATGTTGTTTTAAAAAGGAAATATAAAAAAAAATATTTGTTTTATATTTTTCGATGTAGAGATATACAGAGAATGTTTTCCAATTTTAAGTCCTATCGCAATACACATTTAAAAAAAAGTGTGTGTTGGAGGGGGGGGGGTCATTACATTTTTGCTGGGATTCGCCTATGTATGATCGTAGAGAAACAAAGAGTGGGGAGGGTGCAAGCAGCAACTAAATCAAAATTTACATATTAAAACTACAACAAAAGACTATTTTCAGAAGGTCTGCCCCCCCCCCCCCCCCCGTACAATCCGTACAACGGACCTGTGAGAAAAATACTGATCCTACATTCAGAGTCCCAGGGCACCAGGAAAGAGTGGCAAAAAGAGAATATCGGTTTATTTCAGTCTATAAGTCGAATCAAAATATCTTCTCCTCAAGAGTCTTCTTTCTTTGAGTTCTTCCCAGTGATCGTGTGATTTATTTCATTTAATATACGTTCTGTACTGGACTTGGAAAATGAGGACATCTTTAGGTTCCTGAGCTGGCCTTGAAGCCCGCAGAACAGATTTTCTGCTTTATGATAAATTCAAGTGATATGTAATACGGTATTAATTTTGTGTTGATTTTATTAATGTTAAATTCAAGTGATATGTAATACGGTATTAATTTTGTGTTGATTTTATTAATGTTAATTTCATAAAGAAATATGAAAAATTAATGTTTTAACTATACATAGTGAGGAATTTTTTGTGTGGAACGATTATTTTGGGGTTTTCACGATTTTTTCATATGGTACACATGATGAGTAAGTGCAATAAATATAATTTGTGGGGTCTGTCCACAAGTACCTGTTGTCAAGCCCGTAGAAAACAATTTCAGTTTTTTTGGGAAGGGGGGGGGGGGCAAATAGAAATTTCCACAGGTACTTGTACTCGATTTTTTCCTATGGTACACATGATGAATAAGTGTAATAAATATAATTTGTGGAAAAAAATGTCCAACAAACATTGGGGTTGAATTTGGGGGGGGGGGGGGGGGGGTCCTGTCCACGAGTACCTGTGGAAATTTCTTGATACATAAACAGAATTTAAAAGCATGTATTAGACATCTTTTGAAGGGGAGAGGGCACGGCCGTAATTAAAAGTTATATAGAGACTAGGAAGGAATGAACTGTCATTAAATTTTGGTTAAGAACTATTACCTAAACTCTTCACTTTCACATTTTCAATTACAGATTCTTGTTTTTAAAAAGCTATACATGTACATTTATATGTATCTATTAGATGCATAAATTATGTTATTAATCATTTTATCTTAAAGGAAAAGTAAAAATCTCAATCAAACTTGTTCCGCATATTATGCTCTCTGATTCATTACTCAACAGATGCTTCATATACATGTAAGAATGGAAGACTGCAGACTGCAGGTGTGATAAATTCACAGCATGCAGCTCCAGCCTTAATTCCAACTTTGTTCCAAAATATTATTATTCAACGCGAAAAATTAGAATTAGCCGATAGAATATTTTGAATCACTTCGGAAATGCTGCCGTAACACCAGACTGAGTTCACAATATCGAGTGATTTTGATTGACAGGTGTAGCGCCGTTGTGCATGGATTTCGTGTAACTATACATGTACTGCAGATTGTGGTTGAAAATAATAAACAAACAGATCTAAAGAAAAGATATTGTATACTGTACATATATTTGTTAAGAACCAGTTCATTCATGAAACGAATTTAGTCGTATTATGTGGGCCCATGTTAGATTTGACAGGTTGATTTACTAGTAGAAATTCAATGGACCACCGTCATTTAGGGTATTCCGAATCACTCCGCACATCGCGACTCTCGGTAATTTACCTTACCGCTGTACCTCGCACGACACATGCACAGGTGTGACAACCAAACAGTCATTATTAGTAAGGTCTATGCTTATTGCATACAACAAATAAAGAGGTAAACATAATGCGTTAAATAAAAGAATTAATTATTTTAATTCATTAACTTCCTATTCTTTTCGAAGAAAATGCCCGTGTAGAAACGTATTTCTCATCGATGTCGTGGCGTTGTTGGTGGATGAAACATGGCATATAAGGTATCGATAGAACGGCAATTTTATAAGCTTTTGTGAGTATTATTTGTTTTTTATAACACCTCAAAAATATACTAGTTATGGCCGCATTTGTAGCCCCCTACAGTTTCGAACCACGTGTGTACATGCCCCTAGCCAAATAAATTGCACACGCTACATGTATACTTGTTATATGTAAGATTATTATTTTTTTTTATAACATTGTTTTTCTTAAATGCAAGGGGTATGAAAGTAATGATTTGACAAAGCAAGAGCTATAAAAAGACTATCCCGGGTCCCGGTATACACTTGATCAGTGTTGATCAATGTTCATATGTACGAGTACACGTATGCAAATAATTCGATAGCTTTTGAAGATTTCAACATACATTTTTGTAACACGCATATTTGTAATAACCACTTTATATACAAAACAAAATTTCATTCTCTTATATGGTAATATGGACGTCGTAATAGATCTGACTGAATGCTTGACATGCCTGTTTCAAAAACGTTTCCTAAGTTATCTTAAGATATGCCTAAGTTATAACTTTAAAAGTTCCTAAGATTTATCACAGCTGTATCACGAAACAATCTTATCTAAAAAAAAAAATTATAAGTCATTTCTTAAGTTGTGCCTTTAAGGACTAATAAAATAACATTCCCGCTCTATATACAACTCTCAGTATGGTATATATTTTTAGATTCAAAAAGAAAGGGTGCGAGGATTAGGGATTGCCCCCACTTTTAAAGGATTTGCTTAACTTTGCGAAGTGTTTTGCTAGATCTAAGCATTCACAGACACACCCTTTCAAGCCATCTTCCCTTCCGAGCACACGATATTTGTATTTTAATTTTTAAACATTGTTCTAGGCGTTATACATTTACTTTATTTTGTTCTTATAAGGTATCTACATGTAAATAAAATTTTAAAATGAATGCTTCGTAGCGAACACATGCGAGTTTATATTTTTCAAACAATCTTTGCCAATTACTACACTGCATCTACATGCTAGTTGTTTGTGCGGTGTAGAGCAACAATGTATTTCAACATCGAGGTGCCCGCGGCTCTCTGTTGCCACGTGTATGTAAACGAGGACTGGACTACAACACTTAAAGACACAAAGCGGCAGAGACGGATGAAACTGTTTGCTATATTACAAAGACTTGAATTATAGTACATGTATATTTGAAGGAATTTTTATTTATGTTAATGTTTATTTAATTCTATAAATAATAAATGGACATTCACAAGAGTGGTGGTAAAAATAATATGTGCGTAGCATGCGTAGTAATTACAATTATTTACCGAAGCCCCCATTTAATTACAATTGCAGATGAATTAAAATACAACAACACGGGATAGAGCAATACTTTTTTTAAATGTATTGTTGCGTGAACAGACAAAAACAGCGATTAAAATTCAAAATGATTTTTATGCACCAGTGTTTGGAATTAAGATTATAAGATCGGTAAAGTAATCTTACTGATTCGATATAATTAAAAACATAACTTTCCATTAATTAATAGCTCTTTGTACAAAATTGACATTATACGCGATCACAAATACTAGCTTTGTTTATGGTCACAGGTGGCTAGTACACTGGTGACCTCGTTCAACAGCGTGGGATTCGCGCGTTGGGTTACATAACTAAACATCGAGCTGAACATGGAGACCGTAATATGCATACAGCTAATGATCGTGAATTATTCAATGCATACAGTTTAAAATCACTTACAAAGTTTGTTGTAATAATAAACGTAGAAAGATAGATTTAATATTCTCCGCTTTTGAACACTATTAACCTAATTTAAAAAAGAAGAAAAGAAAGACTAGTTGTAATAAATAATTTAATAGTGAACCATAAACCACGTTTTAAACCTTATTAAAAAGAAAATTAACATTAAATACCGCAGGGTATATTATTGATAGCAAGTCTGTTTAAGTTATACACATGAAGAGGTCTAATTTCCTTGCCGAATGAAAAACGTTACCTGTTTACCTGGCCTGCTTTCTAATACGTATTACGCAATACCCATGGTATACTCGAACAAAACAACATTTTCATTAGATCAAAAAGGTGTAAAAGAACAATTTTGTTCCCAAGATCCACATCGAAATATTTACCGTTTTTGAGTTATAAAGCAAAAACTTTTAAGGGCCCAAGATCCCTAATCATAGGGGCCAGCCCCTTTTAAATAGTATAATATGAAAGCCCTTGCAATTATGCGCAACTTTTGTTCTACATGTCTTAACAAAATATTTCTAGTTTTCAAGATATAAAGGAAAATATGTCAAATTTTTTGCTTTTTCCGCGTTCTAACTTTTGACCCCTCTCTAGCGCCATTTTTAATGCAAAAATCAAAAAACAAAAACCGATGTGCACAACTTCAATGCTTCCTCTTTTCAATTTCAAAGGGTTTTGTGCTCCAATTATAACCATTTCTGAGCCTTTGTCTGGAAATGGGAGGCATGCAAAATTCAATCAAAGGGGAATAACTCGTGAACAGAAGGTAATTTCCGAATTGTATTACGGTATTCTGACAGTGTTTTGTAAAGTCTAAAAGCTCTGAAAATTTGAACAAAATCTGTTTAAAAATGAGGAAGATATGAAGCGTCAAAGTTGGCGTCTAGGAAAAAAAAAAAAAAGAATAATCTTAATCATCACAATCAGTAGAAGGTCTTCCGTTGGAAACGGAAGACCTTAATAAGAATAATCTTAACCATCAGAATCAGTAGAAGGTCTTCCGTTGGAAACGGAAGACCTTAATAAACTCCAGGATATGCACGTAGTTGATTTTCTAAAATAAGAAAATGGTTGTCTTACCTCTGTTACCTTGTTACTCCGAAATTTTGTTACAGACGTGTTTGTTTTGATGCTCCTTATATTTATAGATGGAGTCTGGTATTTTGGTTTGATAACCCAACAGACGTGCAAAACACGTGAGAGACTCGTCATACAGATCGGGGTAAACATTAATAATTATAAATGATTGATGATGACCCTTCATTACATTTGTTACTCATAAAAACATGCTAACTCATATCAATTAATGTACATGTGTATATGTAAATAAACAAGCAAATGAATTAAAGAAACTTGCACACTATTTACTCCTTCACTCTTTTTTTTCTTGCTGAATTCATGGGAGCACTGGAGTTGACTAGCATTCTTTATACCGTGCAGATACTTGTCCATAGGTTGGAGATTAAGTCCTCTGATGCACACGTCTCCATTACAGGCTTTAAGTTTATATGTAATAGAAGCACCTGTTTTTAGTAACCAAATTTGTTTGTTTCTTCAACAATTCTTACAACTGCAAATATCTTTACATCTTTCAAACATGCATTTTTAGACTAATAAAATCATTCGTTAAAAACTTTCCAAAGATTCCTTTTCCGGACAAGGTCTGTCCTGAAGGACATATTTACCAAAACATCGCTAAAAATGAGCTTTTATTTGACCAAAAACGTGATGTGTTTGTGAAACACTGATGCCCCCGTACGGTAACTCATATCAAAGGCTAAAATTACTCAAATACAAATCAAATATGTTGGTATAGTAAGGTCTTGTCTCGTGGAATATACCTTTAAAATATGAAAACCCTAGCAGCAACCATTGAATAGATATGGAAAAGGTTAAAGTTTTTCAAAAGTAAGTCAAACATCAAGTTCAAATGGTCAAAATTAATGGTGCCAAAGGAAAGGCCTTCTAACAAAAAATACACATGTGAAATATGAAAGCCCTGGCACCAACCGTTCAAAAGTTATGACTAAAGTTAAAGTCTTTCAAAAGTAGGTCAAACTCCAAAGTCAAAGTGTCAAAGTTTTTTCGTATCCAAAGAAAAGTCTTGTCACAAGTATACACATGTGAAATATGAAAGCCCTGGCATCAACGGTTTAAAAGTTATGGCCAAGGTTAACGTTTTTCCAAAAGTAGGTCAAACTCCAAGGTCAAGGTCAAAGGATCAAAGTTGCTGGTATCTGAATGAAGGTCTTGTCACAAGGTTGAAAGTTTGAAAGCCCTAGCACCAACTATTCAAAAGTTATGGCCAAGGTAAAAGTCTGAAAAGTATTGCAAAAGTGGGTTAAACTCCAAGGTCAAGGTCAAAAGGTCAAAATTTATGGTACCCAAAGAAAGATCTTGTCACAAAGAACACACGTGTGAAATATGAAAGCCATAGCTCCAACCAATCAAAAGTCATGGGCAAGGTTAAAGTTTTTGCTGACAGACAGACAGACGGACGGACAGGGCAAAACTATATGCCCCCAAATCTTCGATTACGGGGGCATAACAAGGTTCCTTGCTTGATTGGGTTTTAGCCTCAAAATAAATCTTTGTCAGTGAAAAAAAAAAATTACAAAGAACGAGGAAGATTTTAATCTGAATTCCACAGGAATCTGGATGCACTTGAAAAGTGAAAATTTCATCAATGCGACACATGATAGTTTAGCATTCTATTGATGATTCGGCTATTTGTGATATAGTAAAAGGAAATATTTTCCTGATATTGTCTTTTGATTTCCTGAAATATGCCTTGAAATATGACTCGATGTCATTTGGTTCAAAATGGTGCATTTATACTCACTTTTTTTTTTTTAATTTTCTATCTCTGAGTCATCGCTCCACGATTTTAAAAAATATTTGTGTGCATTTTAAATCAAAGAAACAAACATCTGCAAAAATAGAGAGAAGACCCAGAGGCCACATAAAATTAACTTTAAAAAAAATCACAGGGTAAATGCTTTGCTTCATTGTTTTAAAAGCATATCTCTGTATGTAGTGAACAGTGGTATACGTGATGAATCGGTATATTTTGGGTTGGTCCTCGTTTGGGGCATTTTTAAACAGTGTAGAATTTTGTCATTTTGATTTTATTTATTTATTTATTTTGAGTTAAACTTTGATTCTTTTGCACCGAGATCAATAGCAATTTTTACGACCCACTAAAAGTTTAAGACATTTTTAACTATTATATAGTTATTGCTGCTTTTGAGGTCAATATGATGATTTTGTCACACTGCAGAGTACAATATTCACCAAGCCCGAAGGTGGCTAAATCATCTTATAGACTAAAAAAGAAATAAAAAACAGCAATAATTGTTTTATTATATGATTCAATGATTAATTGATACAAACTTGTAAAGAAAACCATGTCATCTTTCTTGTTTACATTGAAAGAAGGGGAGGGGGGGGGGGGTTAAAACAAAACCAGTTGTATCAATTTAGAGAATGTAGAATAATATGCATATATGGAATAACTGTCTACTTTTGTTTTGTTTTATGTTGTAATCAATATATATTGGTATGTTTTCATGTAATTTATGCATATACGTCAGTGATCCGGGTTGAAAACTGACCCGTTGGTCATACATCATTCAAAAGTTTAAGTTTAAGTGTACCAGTTACTCTAAACTGTCATAAGTTAGAGATAATAATTAAACCATCTTGATAAAGACTAAAACTGCCAATTTCTTCCCAAACATGTTGTAAAAATCGATGTTACTTAAGGAATGAATTTAATAGCTACCCATTTTATACGGTATAAAGTGGGTTGGGGCAGTTTACGCTTTATAAACCGCGAAGCGGTTTATAAAAAAGCGTAAACTGTTCCAACCCACTTTATACCGTATTAAATGGGTAGCTATTAAATTAATTCCTTGTAATTTTAATTTTCATTCATTTAGTTTAAGAAAAAAGATGATTGACCTTAAAAATGGACTTCAAATTGTACAAAATTCAAATGTAACGTCAGGCGGATCGATACGTTTTTTACCCAAGTCATTGTGACGTAGGCAACCCAATTTATACGATATAAAGTAAATTTTTTATCCAATCAAATACTGCGTTATAACTAGAATTAAATTATAATATTTTCAATCTCACGATTGCTAAGCTATGACATCTCAACTGCTCATCTATGACGTCATAGCATATGACACTGTGTTAAGAAAAGACAGAGATAAAGGGAAAATCAAAGACAATGTAATAAACAGAAAATTCAATGTTTTATAGCTGGATATCATTATGGAATTTATTTCACTCGTGAGACAGGATTTTTTTTTGTATATTTTTACTCGCGCTTCGCACTGGTGAAAATATATATTAAAAAAATCCTGTCCCTGTCGTAAAATAAATTCCATATCCAGCTACAAAACATTGAATAACCTCTATCTGTTTATTGAATAAAAATTATATTCTCTCACAGTGTGAAAGGATACCAAAGTAATATTCTCTCATAGTGTTAAAGGATATCAAAGTAAGTAAAAAATTATTTTTGGCCTTTCATAAGATAGAGATAGTAACTAAACCGCCTTGATAAAGACTAAAGCTGCCAATTTCTTTCCAAATATGTTGCTAAAATCCACGTTACTGTATCGAACAATCTCATAATTGCTAAGCTATGACGCCTCAACCGCTCTACTATGACGTCAAAGCCTGTGACACTGTGTTAAGAAAAGACAGAGGCAAACGGAAAATCAAGAAAATTTAATAAACGGAAAATACAACTCTTGAGAGTTTCACTCGTGAAAATATAAAAAAAATTCTGTCCCACTCGTGAAATAAATTCCATATCCAATTACAAAACATTGGATATCCTCTATTTATTCATCTAGAATTACACATGTCATGTATCTACATTTGGGTTAAATATTTCAACAGGTCCGTAGGAACCAGGTGAGGGAAGGAGGAGGGGGCACGGGGTGGCTGTTTTCCTTAAGGATGACGTTTACCCATGCAGATGACAAAAGAATTCTACTGAAAATTGAAAAATCACCTATTGTACATTGTAGACCTTTGATTGTAGTGTTATTATTCATTTTCAAATAACTAGGTCAATGACCTATTTTTCATGCTAGTGGCCCCTGAATATTTCTCGGAAAATACCCCAGTTTTTAACACTATGACCAATATTTTATTTATTAACAAAATACAAGTATCAAAACTCTTTGGATAACGAATTATGATATAAATGGAGAAGTTTTGCTGAATAGAAATAAACAATTAGAACCATAAACTTCTTTATTGTCTCACTTCGAATTTCCTCGGTCAATTTTCCAATTTTTACCCAATTTTAATCTGATATTACAAAAATCTGAATGAACAGAACTCTAAAATATTTATAGTCTCAGTTTACTTTTGTTGAACTTATTATGCTGTAATGAAAATTATATGAAGTCATTGATCAAATTTTTGAGGTAAAATGTCTGGAATGGCTTTTGTTCATATTTTTGAAGTTCTAAATGCAAACCATTCAATTACTTGAAATAATAAATGAGCTTTAATACACATAATATTCACAAAATGCTGTCAAGAAATAAATACAATTGTAACTTATGAAAAATAACCCCCCCCCCCTCATAAAAAAAAAATTGTGAAAAAAATGGAAAATCAAAATTAGTCCGAATTTCCTCTGCATCAGCATAAATTTACTTTTGTTCTTGCACATTTTCTTCAGATAATAAAATATTTGATTTTTCAGTTGAAATTGAGTTATAACATAGACATTTTGTCCATTTAGAACAATTTTTGATTTAACATATTGTACTTTATAGCATTCCATTTCTGTCAACTAAAACCCTGAGTAAATGCCATCATTCAATAGGATACAGTTGTGTTTCTTTATAAAGGATGTACGGTGATCTTTTGTTTTATTTTGTCTTGTTCCTTGTCAATGAATTTTTGATCGGTTCTCTCTCTTCCCTTTCCCCTTCCCAAAAATCCCGAATTTTCTTCATACGCAGCTGTTCAAAGAATTTATTTTTATTCTGTATAAACATGTAAACTGAAAACAGGGAATTATTTAATCTTAGACTAATTATAAATCCTGGATTTTCAGAAAATTTTGAAATCAGGTGAAGTGCCTGAAGACTAACTTAGTTTTGCT